TATATATTATATTATATATATATATATATTATATTATATATATATATATATATATATTATATTATATATATATATGATTAAAAAGTGGGAAATATATATTTTGACGACCTCTAATTGTGAATGTAGAAGTAAAAATAGAGAACAGAAGTCAAAGAGCATCTATCCATTGTTGGAATGTAAATGTGCCCTCTTAGATGTTTGTCATGCACCGTAATTACAGGTTGTTGCTCCGCCATTAAAATGTGTATTATAACTTTTGTAGGACTACTTTTATCTATGGTATTTTGAATAGCCTTCTGGCTTTTATTTTCTTTATAAAACCACATCGCTATCTCCGGAAGATCTTGCGTATGATTGCGTCATTGAAGACGGCGCTTGCGCAGTGTGACAGATAAACAATATGGCGGCGTCCTTACAGCGCCTCACGTCTGCTGGGAAATATCTCCTTCAAAGACATTTACTGAAGACAAATTATTTAAGCAGGGTAAGAAGTACGTGTTAACGGGCTTGTGTGTGGTACAGCACTTCCTCGACAGTTATCACTGCACAGTTAAACGGAGGAAAACCCCTCGGCATGGCCGGTCAGGCTCAGTGTTTGCTAACAAGTTAGCTAACAGCTGCTACATCCTGGGCTATTGCGGAATGAATTCTTAAAAGTAATATCCGAAGTTTGACCGGTGTAGCACAGTTTAAAACTACGACATAGGTTTTTAATAGGTTAGTTAAAATCATGTTCGCGGCATTTGGTCAGTGACAGCTGATGTCACTGTCCTACATTTGCAGTATCATGATGACTGTTAATTGCTGTGTGTCCTCCACCTCCACCTGCAGCTCACAGCTGGACCGCACCGACTATTGGCTACTCAGGCCGCTCAGCATGTGGCTCTCAATGTTCCTGAAACCAAAGTGACCACTTTGGAAAACGGACTCCGAGTGTCTTCTGAGGACGCTGGACTTACCACCTGCACGGTAAGACACAAGTTACCGTGATAAACACACACACACACACCGAGCATTGCTGTTTACGTGCTACCTTTATGTATTTATAATAATAATAATATCGAAAAATACAAACTCTTAAATCATATTAAATGCTTTTTTTACCCTCTCATGCCCAAACAATAGTAACGAAATTCAAGACACAAGTATTTGTTTTTGTTTTTAGAGGAACAAATCAAAAGACTACACCTGGTCTTGCTTCCATACTGTAATGTAACGTTGAAGGACAACATTGTTTGCACCTTTTAGCTGGTGATTCCTCTTAAATTTATAATTAGTCACCAATGATGAGTTGCAAATTTAGGCAATATTGTTACTCAACCAGAAATATAAAAGAGCTCAGTGGTTTTGTTTCAAAATATTGTAGCTAAGCATCTCAAGGCCACAAGTCGGCTCATTTCAAGGGTTTATCCCAAAGCTAATAAAGAGTTGAGCTCCGTCATTACAGAAGATGGCCTCATCTCAGATCTCAGTCTGAAGTTCTGGTACAGCAGCTGCAGAGAGTGTGTAGATATTAATCTGGATATTCATGACTGACTCTGTCCAGGTGGGCCTCTGGATAGACGCTGGCAGTCGCTACGAGAATGAGAGAAATAATGGCACCGCACACTTCCTGGAACACATGGCATTTAAGGTGAGATGGTAACAGCACAGCGCAGTTTTTAACTGGTTTGTCTTCTATTGTTTCTTATTTGCACATTTGCAACAATTATAAAGAACAAATAAAAAAAAAGAGACACAGTGGAATTGTTTAGGTTGACATAACGCAAAAATAATTGCATAAATGTAATGGTCATGATAAATGATATGTCTTGTTTTCCACACCCTCTGCATGTGTGTGACAGGGCACCAGGAAGCGCTCCCAGCTGGATCTGGAGTTGGAGATTGAGAACATGGGGGCTCACCTGAACGCCTACACGTCCCGAGAGCAAACTGTGTATTACGCCAAAGCTTTCTCTAAAGATCTTCCACGAGGTACAGAGCAGTGAGAATAAGGCCCCACTGACATGTAGTGATGACCATAAGGATAGGTCATGTCCTGAAGAAATCACAAAATCACTTCAACTATGTCATCAAAGACGATTCAGTTATTTATTGATGGAGTTGGTTATTTTTTTATAACTTAAAGGTACTTCAAGGAACTATAAACTAGTTATGAAACAATCTCTGATGCCTCGTTATGACCTACATAAGCATACGAGACCACCGGCTATTTCGATACAGGGATTGTTAGGTCGGATTCCCCGCAAAATCAGACGAAACAATTTATGGCATACATGGTCACCAGAAATGACTTCATACCCAGGACTGAGGCAGCCTGTTGGACCATGCTGCAGTAATATGAGAGGTTTTCTAAAGGGAGCCTGGCAGCTGCAGATCTCTACGACACAATGGCGCTCATGGAAACACTACCGATGTTGTCCACTGGGGCCACCAGAATCAACACAAAATGAAAGTTCCATGTATTTAAAGGTTATTAAAAAGTCTAACAATTAAAATTGATTGCATTTTGCCAATATAGCAAAACACCGAACACAGACCGATTTGTTGGAGTAATGAAAAAAATGACAGCTCCATTTATCCAAATAAAAAGCTCCTGTTTTCTTTTCTCCCAAGCTGTGGAGATCCTGGCGGACATCATCCAGAACAGCACACTGGGTGAAGCAGAGATCGAGAGGGAGCGAGGGGTGATCCTCAGAGAGATGCAGGAAGTAGAGACCAATCTGCAGGAAGTGGTCTTTGACTACCTGCACGCTACTGCGTACCAGTCCACAGCTCTGGGCAGGACCATCCTGGGCCCCACCGAGAACATCAAGTAAGAGCAAACGTTCATTTCAAATGCAAAACCGCCTTGCTCTCCAGAACACGTGATCTCTCAATACAACATGTTTTTTCCTGCTGTATTTGATTGCAGAACAATCAACAGAGGTGACCTGGTGGAGTACATCACTACTCACTACAAAGGCCCCAGAATCGTGCTGGCTGCTGCTGGAGGTCAGAGCTGTTTCTCTCCTCACGTGTTTGGTTATAAGTTAACATTTTAGTTCGATATAAAAGCACAAACCCCCATTGTTTCTGGGATACTATTAACGGCATCTGTCATTGGCGCCTTTATGTATTTCACACTACTGGGGAGTAGTAGGCTCATGTTGAATCACAACATTAAACAGTCAACAGTGCAAAAAGTAGAAAATATCAAATAAAGTGCACAGACAAACGGTGTCTGTAGTGTGTGTCATGGAGTCTTGGTCTTTGGGGTATTTCCTTTATTAGACTAAAGTGAATTGATATTACTGCTGATTGTTCATAACTCACACCAGTGTAACATACACCGTGAGGTCGTTCTGATCTTAAAGACCTTGTGGTGTGTTTTGGATCAGGGGTTTCACACAATGAGCTCAATGATTTGGCCAAGCATCATTTTGGAAAACTCCCTGGCAGATATAAAGGTGAAGCCCCGGCACTTCCTCCATGCCTCTTCACAGGAAGTGAGGTAAGGTTGAAGTCTTCAGATAATACTACGATTTATTGTTGTTTGAGTTTTCTCTTTTTCTTAAAAATGTATTTAATTTTGTCATGTAAATCATAAGTATGTTTTATTATTATAGTACTAGAGAGAGATGACAGGGCCAAGGAGGAGCTATGCAAACAGAGCTTGAACCAGGGGTGTTGAGGTTCATGGTCAGTGCCTTGAAAGTGCTTTATTAATAACACTTAATATTTCCCATATAAATAAAAAAAACAAGAACACTGACAACTGTTTATTTCTAAGAAATGATCTGTTGGAATAGAACAGTGTTACTGACGGTGGAACAAGGAGTTTGTGAGTGAATGTGTTGCTGTCGCTTCAGATCCGCGTGCGTGACGACAAGATGCCTCTGGCTCATATCGCCATTGCAGTGGAGGCGGTTGGATGGTCACACCCCGACACCATCCCCCTCATGGTGGCTAATACACTGATAGGAAACTGGGACCGCTCGTTTGGTGGAGGTGTGGTGAGTACTGATGAGACCTCAGTGAAGTTGACCCAACTCCAATTCATTTAGTTTGCATTAATTACACCAAGCTGTACAAGACAACTTCAATACGGCTTGTTACATGATGTCGTGATAAACAAGATTTAGTGACGTGTGCAAATGTTTGATCCTTTTGCGGTTAGAATTGTGTCGGCCATAAAACACACCCGTTTATTAGGGATGGGTCATTATTTCCACATTTTCGGATACTCATAATAAATTGAATAGTTTATGCAACTATCGGCTTGTCTTGAAGTAGTTTTTACCATCACAGGCACATAGCCTGATTCACCAGAACCACCTTCTTTCCACTGTTCCAACAATTTGGTTGAAAGAACGTGAACTTCATCATTGCTTTCAAATGTCTTCGTTTTAGGAGTTTGAAATCGCTGCAGTAGTTTGGAGGCTCGACAGAAACGCAGTCGTGTGACGGTAGCAAAGATGTGAATGTTTTTTTCTTAAGGCGATAAAATGATTTAACAATTTCTTAAAGCAAAATCCTTAACACATGATCACAATTTAAATTTCTTGCAACAATTATCATTTTGACTCATATCCTCTGGCCCAAACCCAATCTCCAGACGTTGAGGTGTGCTCCCATAAAGTCCGTGATAAAGTCCGTGAGGGTTTAGTTCTGTCAAATCGTCGTGTTTGAGGCTCTCTGGCAGACATTTTGAGCCCTTTATGAACACTTTCTGTAAGTCAACATTAGATGCAGACTTTGCCCAAGGGAATTACCCACAATTCATTGCAATGTGACAACCAGTGGAAGCATAGACGTAAACAAAGAGGACGGCTCATGTGTGTTCAGCCTGGTCATATGACATTTACTCAGAAACATTAAGGGTTAAAGATGGAACAAAAAATAAAGATAGAATCAGAGGATATTTATTCATTAACATTTTATTTAGTTATTGAAGCTGTTTTGACAAAAACAAGTAAATCATTTGAAATGACCTCATCTTGAGGAAAGAGCCTGAAGACTTCCAAATCAGAGTACAAAAATATTTTTTGGTGTTGTCCCATCATATTTACAGTCTGTCCCACTCAACAGATGACATCATGAAGTCCTCTGTATCATTGTGTTGGTCACACTTAACTATAAAACCTGCCACACCGGTTTGCTTCTGACGGTGTGTCCCGTATGTGGTTGGGCTTCCCACCTGCTTGTGTCCGTTGTGAACCCAGAATCTGTCCAGTAAACTGGCTCAGATGGCCTGTCAGGGGAATCTGTGCCACAGCTTCCAGTCCTTCAACACCTGCTACACAGATACAGGCCTGTGGGGGCTCTACATGGTGTGTGAGCCCGGCACCATCGACGACATGATGCATTTCACTCAGATGGAATGGTGAGTACACAGATATACAGTAATGGTACCTTTTTGAACACTTAGTTTGTGTAGCTGCTGTTTACTCGCGGGTCTAAATATAAAACAGGATGAATCTTGTTGCTCCCTGTTAGGATGTCTCTTTGCACGAGTGTGACGGAGAGCGAGGTGGCACGGGCCAAAAACCTGCTCAAGACCAACATGCTCCTGCATCTGGATGGTAAACAAACATCCACTTGGACTCAATGATGAACAAAGGTCACTGTGACAAAACACCATTTTGTCCATAACTCATGAATTAATATCCTAATTAAGACGACTCCACACAAACGATAGAAATTACATTTTGGAAAGACATGGATGCAACTGCAAGGTGGTAATTCTAGTTTGAGATCTGTCGTGTGCAGGCAAAGGTTTTATGCCATAAACACATTTATTGACTCCAGGATCCACTCCGATCTGCGAGGACATCGGCAGACAGATGCTGTGCTACAGTCGTAGGATCCCTCTGCATGAGCTGGAGGCCAGAATTGATGTGAGTGGATACACTTGGGAACATACAGAGGCTCTAATTTAAGGGCGTTCAATGAGACAACTTGTAATGTTTCCAAATATTAGGCTTCTGAAATCATGTCAGATTAAGAGGCTGAGGGATATTGAATCACCTTGTTTCTTAACTGTTAGATGTTATGGCCTATGACATGATTCATGGGAAATTGTGAAAGAAAAGCACAATCCAGCGCTGTATTTAAAATTGTACATTTTTTTTCTTCCTGCCTCAGGCCATTGATGCTACGACCATTAAGGACGTGTGTACCAAATATATCTACAACAAGGCTCCTGCCATCGCAGCAGTTGGTATGTCTGTTGCCATTTGTCCTAATTAGATTTACTGTAATATTGCGGCACTCACTTTGAATGCGAACAGTGTTACAGAGATGTAAAACTGTAGATTCCTCAACTTTTCTTCTCAGGTCCAATTGAACAGCTGCCAGACTACAACCAGATCCGTAGTGGAATGTTCTGGATGAGAACATGAACAAACCAGCAGCGAGGATAAATGACTCACTGTACAGAAATAAACAAATTGAATGACCGTTTGTAGTATTTTTCCTCCTTTAATTTTTATTATAAAATAAAGAACACAATAATGTTAAAATAACACGAATACTATTCTTTGAGGTTCTTGTCATTTTTTACTCTTTCCTCCAACTCCCTGTGCTGCTTTCTTGGCTTTAACCATCTCCACCAGTTCCTGTCAGGGAAACAGGGAAAGGTGTTAAATTTAGCCTAAAGGAACAAAATATCAGCAGCAGCCCAGCAATATCCCAGTAACATCCCTACGGTTTAGAGTTGGCTGGAAACTTACCTTGTACCTCTTCATACAGTCTTTCTTACTCCGTCCTGGGACTGCAGCAGCAATCTTCTCCCACCTCTCCGCTGTGCTGACTGGGAACGTTTTCAGGGCTTGTTCCAGAAGCTTCTGTTCCTCAGTGTTCCAGGAGGCAGCGTTCCCATCACTACCAGAGCCTGACACACACACACACACAGCGGGTTAATGCGGCACATTGTTACAGTAGACCTGCGAGTCTATATCAGAGCTCCACTTACCATCAAATCTCTCTGAGGGAACAGCATTGTCTATGGTGGGTGCAACACAAGAATGTTCCTTCTTGAACTTCTCGAAGGCTTTTCGGTTGATCTCATCTTTCTGCACTGGATCTGTGGAGGTGACATGAACCCAAAAATATAACGTTTTAAGATCCATTAATACATACCCATCTACAGGCTTTATTAGCATTATTCATTGAAACATGACTGTTGGTGTTTACTGTGTTCTTCATATCTGAGCTCACCTAGCCGCTGTAGATTCTTGGCTTTGTTGATGACATCTTTGGCGGTCCTCTTCATGCCACTGGTGGAGTGGAGGTTCATATAGTTGGCAATAACTTCCCATCTGAAAGGACAAAAAATATTTGACATCCATTGCACCAAGCATTTGTAAGTTCTTCTTAATTATCACAATTCATTTTTAACTGCTTTTGAAATGGACTCAATTTGATACAGATGTCACTATATGACAGATCAATGATAACATCGTGTCAGATCAGGTCCATTATATTTTGTGGCCGATTATGAGACAGAATCAGCAAAGAGAAGAAGAAGCTTAGTCGGTCATTAAACAGATGGTTTTGACCTAATCCTGCAATACGTCTTTTATTTATGATACAGATTTACATCACTATGAAGAAGCCGTATTATAGTATGTTGTAAAAACAAGATGTGAAATTGTTTTTTAAAATTCATGAAAAATGTAAGTTATAGTCAGCACAGTCTGCCACAAAAGAAAAGAGTAAATTGTTAAAGAAAACACCAATAATTATGTGTTTTTATAGCTACATAGCTACAGAGGCTAATGGAGGGAGTGAGAGAATAATGAGTTCAGGTCGGTGTCTTGTTGCTGGTTTGGATGACGGAGCAGATTCACACCACTACTGTGTCTACCTGGCATTGGTCCCAGCGGGGAACAGGTTGACCGCTTTGATGAGCAGCTGGAGGTCCTCCTCGTTCCAGCCCTTCCCCCCCGCTCCTCCTGCCCCGCTGGCCTGCTCAGCACTGCGGGCCGCCTGCCTCATCTGGACCTCGGCCTCCTTCTCCCTCTGCAGCTGGGCGTTCACCTCCTGCACCTGAGGGGAGGAGTGTCAACATGTTTGCATACATCGGCTGACACTCGGTGACATGTGCGGGTCTCCTTATCAAATAAAAGATCTTTAAAAAACAAAAGTGCATTTTTACCTGCTTCTCCACGACTACCTTGCTGTCCTCTTTTGAGCCTGAGGCCAGGATGTCATTGAGGGACTGCAGGCTGGAAACAAGTGACATGAAATACGGTTACACGTCACATACATTACTGGAGTATAGTTTAATTAAAAACGTTGTACAGCAGAAACAAAAAATCTCTCTCTCTCTCTCTCTCTCTCTCTCCAAGAAAAAGAGATTGCAAAAGGTATCCTTTTATATAAATCAGTAATAACTTTACATTCACAATCCTCTAAGATATAGAGGTTAGACGGTTTCACTGACTGTCAGGATGACTTTAGAACAGACAGATTAATATCTTTGGAGCTTTACAGATCTAAAAAAAGCTTTCGATACCACTGATCACAATCCATGACATGACATGGTGGAGAGCTCAGGTATCAGAGGGATCGAGATGAGAAGCTTTCCAAGAGACGATATTGTAAACAAATTTGGAAAGATAGGCGAGCATAAATTCAAATGCAGGGCTGTTACTAGCCAAGTCCACCAGGTGGCAGCATCAGGCCCAACATTGATCATTGTGTACATGAATGATAAAAAACTATTTTCTGTTTTTTCAATACTCCGCATTTATTTGCTGACAACACCAATATTTCTTGGAGCAGATTTTTGTTGTGGTCGAAACTGAAATTAATAAATTAAAAATAGTTTAATATAAATAATGTATAAATAAATTTGAACAAAACCAAGCTTATGCCGTTCGCTTATTTAATTTCTATATTTAATTTACAAACATTCACTTAAAAAAAAGATGAAAGACAATGTTAGTATAGAAAGATTTTATGAAAATAAACTGAGTGTGATATTAGACCATGAGATATGTGCATGTTGTAGTTCTGGGAAGAAAAAGGCACATTGTTGCATCACTACGAGGACAATATCAACAGGTTTGTCTTTACACAGGAACGAGGAAGGGTTGACGGATGCTGCATATTTAGGTTGGGAGTTGTATTTATGATAAATGTTATGAGATGTTTTGGATCATATACTTTGTCCTGCTTCTTTTCGGACATGCAATATATTATTTACGTTGTTAATTTATATTGTTTGAGAATTTGTAAATTGAAAGTTTACTTTTTTGTTACATGTTCAAAATAATCAAAAATAAATAATATATGTAATAAATGTGAGGGCTAGTTAATGTTACGCTCATCTTATCTGAGGACAAGAGGACGAGGGCCATCGTCATTAGTGGCCTTCATGAACTCATTGGTACCGTGTCATGCTGTACTCACAGGGCTTCTATGGGCACCAATGAGTCTCCCTTTACACAAAGCAAACTTGATTTCTGCAGAAATCAAACAGTCTTCTAAGTGCATAAATTGGGTACGACTGGAAAGATGACTCTTGTGGATTCAGTTAGTCCACGTAGCCATGTCACTGTATACAATGAGCCGTTGATGCTTTCGGGTCCTGGTTTATCAGAAATGTGTCCAAAACAAGTTTGCAAGCATTAAACTTCATCCGAGTGGTGATCTTGTAGTTGACTGTACCTGGTCAGCTCCAGACGATCGCAGAGCTTCTCCACTTCCTCCATCATTTTCACATTATCAGCCTCATTGTCAGCAAAGTAGTTCCAGTTCTGTGGAGGGAGAAAAACAACTGTAACTTCAGCACTAAGACTAATGCAGGTCTCAACTGTCAGACAGCACTCCATCAGATCTGAAGAGCTCCTATTAGAATCCACCTTGCAGGTGGTCCTGAGTTTCTGCCTCTCCTTCTTGAAAGCCTTCTTCTGGATCTCCTTCTCTTTCTTGACCTGCTGAGCAACCTGCTTGGCCTCCTCTTCCTCCTTCTCCTTTGCCAAACGAGCAGCATCCAGCTCTGCCTGCCGGGCCTGTAAAACACACAGGAAACTGACTGATGAGCTTCTGCAAAAAGGGACAAAATCATTTCAAAAGCAAAGCAAACCCTGAACACAAGAGAACTGGTCTACTGGTGAGAAGTTGATGGTGGCTTAAGCAGTCTGTCTAGGACATTACAGTCCATTACCTGATTTTCCCTGCAGACATTTTAATAATATTTATGACGACTTTGTTCCATTTAGGCGTCAGTAATTCTATTGGCAAGTTTTTACTTCCAATTGTTACAATTCACCGTAGACCTCATCTATAAATCACAAGAGGGAATTTGTTCATAAATGAACATTCCGACTATTTTTACTGCCATTTCCTCATCCCCTTATAATATATTCAATAGGTGAACCAGCCATTTGAAGAGATTTATGTTTGATAAAAACATACGTGTTAAATACTTCATACATGAAACCAAATAAATGCATTAAAGCGGAGTCGACAGGCTTTCGTTTGTTCCCCTCATCGGTAAAACAAGCAGCATGAACTCTAACTTTTCAGACTGGATTCAAAGTTATAAGCATCCTGCAATCATCAGAACAATAGCAACATCCAGGCTCCCTCATGTGGCATCATAGTCAAATCAGCCGTAGAGCACCAAACCTGGATTGATCCGCCGCTGAAAATAGTGCACTCGGAGACTATTTCCTCCTGTTTGAGTAACGTTTGTTAAAAATGATAGTGACCAGCTGTTTTAGAAAATGAGTATACAGGTGCTGGTCATATAATTAGAATATCAAAAAGTTGATTTATTTCACTAATTCCATTCAAAAAGTGAAACTTGTCTATTATATTCATTCATTACACACAGACTGATATATTTCAAATGTTTATTTCTTTTAATTTTGATGACTATAACTGACAACTAAGGAAAATCCCAAATTCAGTGTCTCAGAAAATTAGAATATTACTTAAGACCAATACAAAGAAAGGATTTTTAGAAATCTTGGCCAACTGAAAAGTATAAACATGAAAAGTATGAGCATGTACAGCACTTAATACTTAGTTGGGGCTCCTTTTGCCTGAATTACTGCAGCAATGCGGCGTGGCATGGAGTCGATCAGTCTGTGGCACTGCTCAGGTGTTATGAGAGCCCAGGTTGCTCTGATAGTGGCCTTCAGCTCTTCTGCATTGTTGGGTCTGGCATTTCGCATCATCCTCTTCACAATACCCCATAGATTTTCGATGGGGTTAAGGTCAGGCGAGTTTGCTGGCCAATTAAGAACAGGGATACCGTGGTCCTTAAACCAGGTACTGGTTGCTTTGGCACTGTGTGCAGGTGCCAAGTCCTGTTGGAAAATGAAATCTGCATCTCCATAAAGTTGGTCAGCAGCAGGAAGCATGAAGTGCTCTAAAACTTCCTGGTATACGGCTGCGTTGACCTTGGACCTCAGAAAACACAGTGGACCAACACCAGCAGATGACATGGCACCCCAAACCATCACTGACTGTGGAAACTTTACACTGGACCTCAAGCAACGTGGATTGTGTGTCTCTCCTCTCTTCCTCCAGACTCTGGGACCCTGATTTCCAAAGGAAATGCAAAATTTACTTTCATCAGAGAACATAACTTTGGACCACTCAGCAGCAGTCCAGTCCTTTTTGTCTTTAGCCCAGGCGAGACGCTTCTGACGCTGTCTGTTGTTCAAGAGTGGCTTGACACAAGGAATGTGACAGCTGAAACCCATGTCTTGCATACGTCTGTGCGTAGTGGTTCTTGAAGCACCGACTCCAGCTGCAGTCCACTCTTTCTGAATCTCCCCCACATTTTTGAATGGGTTTTGTTTCACAATCCTCTCCAGGGTGCGGTTATCCCTATTGCTTGTACACTTTTTTCTACCACATCTTTTCCTTCCCTTCGCCTCTCTATTAATGTGCTTGGACACAGAGCTCTGTGAACAGCCAGCCTCTTTTGCAATGACCTTTTGTGTCTTGCCCTCCTTGTGCAAGGTGTCAATGGTTGTCTTTTGGACAACTGTCAAGTCAGCAGTCTTCCCCATGATTGTGTAGCCTACAGAACTAGACTGAGAGACCATTTAAAGGCCTTTGCAGGTGTTTTGAGTTAATTAGCTGATTAGAGTGTGGCACCAGGTCTCTTCAATATTGAACCTTTTCACAATATTCTAATTTTCTGAGATACTGAATTTGGGATTTTCCTTAGTTGTCAGTTATAATCATCAAAATTAAAAGAAATAAACATTTGAAATATATCAGTCTGTGTGTAATGAATGAATATAATAGACAAGTTTCACTTTTTGAATGGAATTAGTGAAATAAATCAACTTTTTGATATTCTAATTATATGACCAGCACCTGTATATTACTGAGCTGATTTACATCTTCAGTAGGACCATTGGAGTTGGGATTGAGGTCAATGACGGGGAAGTCAAAGTGTTGAGAAGCGGACTAACAGTGATTTGCCTCCCACAGACGGAGTGGTTGAGGATGACTGAATGAGACTTACTCGCTCCTTCTCCTCCTGCTCCCTCTTCTTGGCTTCCACTTTCGCCTTCTTCTCAGACTCCTTCCTGGCCTTTTCTTCTTCTTTGAATTTCTTTATTCTAGGGTCACCATTGTAGGCGGTATCTGCAGTGAGGTAATACAACTCATCAGTCTCAGTGATATTTTTAGATGCCGGTTATTTTACTTGACATTGAATGTAGCATTATGATATTTTGAATGCGTTTCATTCATCTTGCAGTGTGCTGGCCGAGGGACTGTACCAACTAGTGTTCGCAATCTGTTCATCTCCTCCTTCTTCCTCTGACCTCTGGAGGCTCGGTTCTGCTTGTCGATCCATCTCCTCTCATCTCGACTGTATGACAAAGTGAAAACATGTCAGCCAGAGACTAAAGCTATGAACACAGGCTCTTTAGTGTGTTTCAGTGCAGCAGATAGAATAAACACACTTACCATTCAGCCTTTTCCTTCTCCTCTTCGTCCAGGTATGAGAACTCCCTCCATGAATCAAAGTTGTACCTTTAACAAAAAATGACCAACAAGTTAAAACGCTCTCTTCTCAAACTCCTTTTTTCTGACACCAGCCAATCACTAAGATCCCTCTAATCAAATCAACTATTCTTGCTTTTCACCAAAAAGAGTAAAAATTGTCGACGTCTTCGAAGGAGGATTCCATTGTTCCGAGTTTGGGCACGTGCTTTTTGGAAGACCACCTGGCATTTCTCTCGAACACGGGAGAAAACACCTCCCAAAAGTTGTCTTTGCCTTCGTTCTTTGAAGGCACGGCGTTGTCAAAGGTGGGGTCGACACTGTCGAAGGCTCTCCTCTTCACGGGGTCCGACAGGGTTTCTATAGCTGAGGTTCACACAACGACAGAAAGCTGTGACAGTTCAGGGCCCTCCAGTAATAACATCAGCACTGATAACAATGAGAGGCTGTGCTTTACCTTTAGTGATGCAGGTGAAGTAGTCGTTGTCTCCCTCTACGATCTGCTCTCCTGCAGCTTTTCTCTTGTCAGGATGGTGCTTCAACACGATCGCTTTGTCTGTTGAGAAACAGCAGAGAACGAGACCAGGATTAGTCATTTCCACCATCCTGAGAAATAAACCACACAAGCAGGAGGAGAGAAATGTACTCACGGGCAGCTTTGATCTGCTTCTGTGTGGCTTTGTACCTCAAGTGTGGGACCCCGAGGACAGAGTAGTGATCTTGATTCTGACAAACAAGTCAAGAGAGGAAATAGTTCAAATGACAAGCAGTCTATAAAGGAACTCTACGGCATATGAAAGGTTCCTCACATACTAGTAGAATGAGTGTCCAGTTCAGGAATACAACTATTCATCAAATATCACAGAAAGTGGTTCATGAGCGTAGGGCTGCAGCTAGCAACTATTGTCATCATCCCTTACTTGGATTGTTTGGTCTTTAGAATGTCATGTATTTCTCGGAGCACACTGTGATGCCTTCAGTCCAAAAGCCAAAGATATTCAGTTTACTCTCATAAAGACTAAAAGAATGCTCACATTTAAAAAGCTGGAATCACAGAATGACTGCCATTTAAAAAAAATACAATTACAATTTTGAGGTCAGAATGATGTCATTTGATCATCTATGGCTGAAATATAAACTACCTCAAACACGTTTCTATATGCAACAGAGCAAAGGGACGACAATTCAGGTTGCTGCATCGCCTCAACTCGGAAATGAGATGGACCCAAAGAGGTTGGCTCTGTGTTTTAAGTTTAGTCAGGAAGTAAGTAGTAAACCATCTCTGGCTGACTCTGTAATACAAAGAGTACTCAGTTTCATTCAGATGTCAAGGATTCCATTTCATAACTCAAATGGATCAGAACTTTATATTTGATTCAACAAATGTATCACCACGACTAGGTCTTCTTTTCACCACTTGGCTGCATCATATCTCGGCTCAAGTTATGAACACCGTTGTTACAAACTGAGTTGGATTAATTAAACTGACTTACTTTCTGCTAGTGCCGAAACAAGGATTAAAGAATCCTTCGGTGAAATTAACAACCATTTTGATAAATGATGAATAATTTACCATTTTTATGCTTTAAATTTACTCAGATGTGAGGGTTTATTCCCATTTGCTGTTTTATATTATTGTTGATTGAATATGTTTGGGTTTGCTATTGTGCAGACAGAATAAGCAGTTTGAGGATGCCACGTTATGACCTGTGATGGACAACTTTCACTATTTTCTAATTTTACACAGCATTTGTTGAAGCTCCCCAATCAAACAACAGAGGGATTAGCAGTCACACATTTCTCTCCGCTAAATTTTATTCAAGAGGACGGGAAGATTAAGTCGGAGAAAAGCTGACGTAAACCTGTGATTGCCAGAGAATAAATAATTAACATTAAGACATTTCCTCAACAAATTAAAACTGCAGGCTGACATGAAAAATCGGATGTTTGATGAGTGTCTCCTACTGTGATACATCAGCACTAAAAAGAAAGCAGAGACTTCTCTCCCTGTGACGTAATATTCTTATTTCGACCAATACCTTCCAGTCTTTGGGGTCAAGTGTTCGGAGCATCGGGTACTCCTCCAGCTGGAACTCCTCATCCTCTGACTCCTCGGAGGACTCCTGTTCCTCCTCCAGCTCCTGGAAGGAGGCAGATGCAGTCCTGTTCCTCCTCTTCAGGTAGGCCTCGAACCATCGACCCACAGGTTCCACCTGGATCTGCACAGAGGCTGAGAGGGGGGACAGAGAGGTGAGAAGCCCCACTGGATATTAGATTTTCCTTTTTGGCCAATACCAATATTTGACAGTTGTTATAAAAACACATAAAGATCCCTTACATTTTTATTTTAAAGATTTGAAATTGAAATATGTAAAATCTTTTAGCCATTATTAATAATGGTCACCTATCTGAAGGTACAACAGGTGTTCAGACATTATACAACAGTCCGGTAATTAATGGCTGGCATGCGGACATATATAAGCCCAGTGAAATATCAACCAAGTAAGTGTATTAAATATCAAGCTAGCAAGTGTTCAGCTAATTGAAGATTTCTAAAAATAAAAATAAAAATAAAAATCACTGCAGCAAGTGCAACCATGAGTGGGCAGCAGCTCGGTAACATTATGAAACACAGGAAAAACACAGTTGGAATAAACCGAGAACATACATTATTAACAGTAAAGGGACTCTTCCGAGCTCTGAATGGACCTAGCTGATAATATTAGCTTAGTCCTTACTGTATGCTTTCTAGCTGCGTGCTAACGAGTATAGCAATAATCTTCGTATATAACATTGGTAGCTTAGCTAGCTACTTCCCCCTGGCCTCTTTTAGTGCTTACCGGCAGTGGTTGTAAAGACAGCCGTTTCATCACCGTCCACCGCTTTTAACAACATCTTAGAAAAATGGGCTACAAGAACATTCACGTGCCAAAATTACCAAGCGAAAGGTTTCTGGAAGTGCTTAAGTTTGTGGCTCGCTCATTAACACACCACATGGGCCTCTCTCTCCAAGTGCCGCAAACGAGCTGCGTTGTTACACCGTTAACGACTCCGTGTTGCGACTGTGCCTCTTGGCTTTTGCAGTTCCGCATACGCGTTTTACGAAACAGCGCGCCTTCTATGGAAACACACTGATTGTGATATTTATTTGCAGCAATTAATTAATATTTACAATGTAGAATTGTAATTGTATGAGTATTGCTTATTACACACAAAATTATTTTTAGTAATTTGTGGTACATCCTCAAAAGAATTCCGACATGTATTTCCGGTGACTGGCGGAAACCCAAAGCTGCTGTGTAATTGTACAGTTTTAGCTGCCGAAGCAGCTCGGTATTTTTGTGAGAAACAGTTTATCTCCAGATTTAAAATGCCGGACTATTTGGGAGACGACCAAAGGAAGACTAAGAAGGAAGAGGAGAAGGACGATGGGCCAATCAGATGTATATCTAAACATTATATGAAATCAATGTTCTTTACTGAAAAGAAACATCGACATTAGCTAGCTACTTAGCTAACGTTAGCTCTGTTTGTTAGCTCTACTTTTTACCAATAGCCATGATAACCGTTGTGGTGTGGCAAATGTAACACTTGAGGTATTTGCAGTTAACGTTACTATAAAATGTGTTGTATGTTAAAACGTTAGAGAAGTTAATAAACTGCGTTCGACAACAGTGCTAGGGGGCCATTGACAATGTTAGAATGCAAACTCATTCATGTTGTTTCCTTCTTCACAGCTTTAGATGAAGGGGACATTGCCCTGTTGAAAACCTATGTAAGTACGGCCTGAGCCGCCAAGTAACCTGTGGAATCTGTCACATTTGGATTATTGTTAATTCTTACGTCTTAATATGGTGCTTGCTGTTTATCTTCAGGGTCAAAGCACCTACTCCAGACAGATCAAACAAGTGGAAGATGACATCCAGCAGCTGCTCAAAAAGATCAACGAGCTGACAGGTGGGTGATAAAACCATATATAGCTTCAATGACCACAAGGCCGTGTGCTTTATGCGAGTTGAAAATGTGTTGCCATTGCTCAAGTTTTCTCAGTAAATCCCTGACTTCAGATGTGAGCGGATGGCTGCTGGGTTGTGTTTGAAGTTCCTGTTGTATTTCTTGGCTTTGACAGGCATTAAAGAGTCAGACACAGGCCTGGCTCCACCAGCTCTCTGGGATCTGGCTGCCGACAAACAGACTCTGCAGAGTGAACAGCCGCTGCAGGTTGCAAGGTAAAGCAAACTTAGCAGACAGTATAAATAATACAAAAAACAATCACAGTGGGTGATGGCATTGTGGCTTAAAACAAGATAATGTGGCTTAGTTCTTTGTATACCTTTAGTAGCTGCTAAATATTTGGTAGGATGTTGTCAGTTGGTTTTCGTAGCTTTTCTACTGCATTACACTGAAAAACCATATGTATTTTTCTTCCCCTCAAAATAATAGAATAAGATTTATTCTCCAATGATGGCTCGTAAACTATTACATTACATTACATTACAGTCATTTAGCAGACACTTTTATCCAAAGCGACTTACAATAAGTGTTTTCAACATCGGTTTTCGAGAGAACTACTAGTCACCAGAAGCCATAAGTGCATCTCCTTTCCTCAAACAAGCATCTAAGAGCATAAAGCAGAGCCAACGTACAGTGCATAAACAAACGAATGCAATAAGTGCCACTAACTAATAAGTAAACAATAAGTGCAATAAGCTAGTATGAATACAATAGATGCTAAGTAAGTGCTAAGTGGAAGGCTCAGGGTAGTACTTCTTGAAGAGGTGAGTTTTCCGCCTGATGAAAGATGGGCCGCGACTCCGCTGTCCTGACATCAGTGGGGAGTTCATTCCACCACTGTGGGGCCAGGACAGAAAACAGCCGCGACCGGGTCGATCGGCTGCAGGGACCTCTGAGCGAAGGGGCAACCAGTCGCCCCGAGGTAGCAGAGCGAAGTGGTCGGGCGGGGCTGTAGGGCTTGACCATGGCCTGGAGATAGGAAGGAGCTGTTCCCTTCACTGCCCTGTAGGCTAGCACCAGAGTCTTAAACTGGATGCGAGCTCTTACAGGGAGCCAGTGTAGAGAACGGAGAAGGCAAGTTGTGTGGGAGAACTTGGGGCGATTGAACACCAGGCGAGCTGCAGCTTTCTGGACAAGCTCCAGAGGTCTGATGGCCGACGCCGGGACTCCGGCAAGTAGTGAGTTTTAGTAGTCCAGGCGTGAGATGACAATAGCCTGGATGAGCACCTGCGCCGTCTCATCAGTGAGGAAGGGGCGAATCCTCCTGATGTTGTAGAGCATGAATCTGCAGGAGCGTGTAACCGATACAATGTTTGCTGAGAACGACAATTGGTCATCCAGGGTCACACCCAGGTTCCTCGCAGTCCGAGTTGGCGTCACCACGGTATCGTCAATGGTGATGGACAGGTCTCAGTGTGGGCAACCCTTCCCCGGGAGGAACAGTAGCTCGGTTTTGTCCAGGTTGAGCTTGAGGTGGTGTGTCGTCATCCACTTCGAGATGTCAGCCAAGCACGCAGCTATGCGTGCCTCCACTTGAGTGTCACCAGGGGGAAATGACAAGACCAGCTGGGTGTCATCGGCATAACAATGGTAAGAGAAGTCATGCGAGCGAATAACAGAGCCCAGAGATGTTGTGTAGAGTGAGAAGAGAAGGGGGCCCAGGACTGAGCCTTGTGGAACCCCCGTAGTTAGCGTGCGTGGTTCCGACACGCCCCCCCCTCCACGTCACCTGGTAGGATCGACCTGTCAGGTAGGATGCAAACAGGGAGAGTGCAGAGCCTGAGACGCCCATCCCCTGGAGGGTGGAGAGGAGGATCTGGTGGTTCACAGTGTCAAACGCTCCAGACAGGTCCAGGAGAATCAGGACAGAGGAGAGAGAGTTAGCTCTCGCTGTGTGAAGCGACTCCGTCACCGCAAGGAGGGCTGTCTCAGTCGAGTGACCGACTTTGAACCCGGACTGGTTGGGGTCCAAGAGGTTGTTTTGGTGGAGATAGGAAGACAGTTGAGTAAAGAGAGCACGTTCAAGTGTTTTGGAAAGAAAGGGTAGAAGAGAAACCGGTCTGAAGTTCTTGACATCAGAGAGGTCAAGTGATGGTTTCTACAGAAGGGAGGTGACTCTGGCAGTCTTGAAAGCTGTGGGAAAGCATCCTGAAACAAGAGATGTTGATGAGGTGGGTGAGGAAAGGAAGGAGTTCAATCGCAATAGACTGAAGAAGAGGGAAGGGGATCGGGTCAAGGGAGCATGTGGTGGGGCGGGTTGGATGTAACAAGGTTGAGGACCTCGTTAGGGGATAGAGGAGCAAGATAGGATAAGACAGGGCATGGAGAGGGGAGGGAGAGCTGTTGGGGAAGTGCTGGAGAGGATGGACAGGGACCGGGGGGCTGAGAGAAGGAGGACCTGATATTGTTTACCTTCTTGTCAAAGAAGTTGGCGAAATCGTCAGGGAGAAGGGAGGAAGTGGGAGGAGGGGGTGGGGGTTGGAGGAGTGAAGAGAAAGTTTCGAAGAGTTTTTTAGGATTGGAAGCAGAGGTTAGGATTTTGGAGCAGGAGAATGCAGCTTTAGCAGTAGATAGAGTGGTGGAAAAAGTGGAAAGAAGAGCTTGGAAGTTAAGAAGGTCCCCCTGGAGTTTGCCTTTTCTCCATTTTTCGCTCAGCCTCTCTTAGGCTCCGTCTGTCATTACGCACTGAGTCCGACAGCCATGAGGCAGGTGGAGTTGGCCGTGCAGACCTGGAGGTGAAGGGACAGAGGTTGTCCAAAGAAGAGGAAAGGATGGCGAGGAGAAGGTCAGTAGCAGTATCAGGGGATAGGAGAGAGAAGGATTCTGGGTCAGGGAGAGCAGAGGTAACAGAAGAGGAAAGATCAGCCGGGGAGAGGGAGCGGAGATGACTACAGGTAGAAACCATGTGGGTAGGTGGAGGAAGTACGGGGGGAGAGGAGAGGGAGAGGGAGTAGGACATGAAATAGTGCTCAGAGAGCTGGAGGGGAGTGACTGAGAGGTTAGCAGTAGAACAGTGTCTAGTGAAGATAAGATCCAGCTGGTTGCCGGCCTTGTGGGTAGGAGGAGAAGAGGAGTGGTAAAGGACAAAGGAGGAGAGGAAGGAAAGAAGAGGTTCTAACTTATCAGTCTGGATGTTAAAGTCACCGAGCAGGATGAGTGCTGAGCCATCGTCATGGAAGTGCAAGACTAACTATGTTTTACAATGTTCCCCTCCAGTACATAATACGTCTTTGTTTTCATGTTTGGATTTGTATAGCATATACAATTTGTAGTCCTAAATGTGTCTGTGTATTATTCAAACAGATGCACAAAGATCATCAACGCAGACTCCGAGGACCCCAAATACATTATCAACGTCAAACAGTTTGCCAAGTTTGTGGTGGACCTGAGCGACCAGGTGGCCCCGACGGACATTGAGGAGGGCATGAGAGTTGGGTGAGGCAGAAGTGTTACTTGAATCTCTCGAAGATGATTTAAAAGACACATTTGTGAAACAATCTGCTAAATTTGGTGTCTCTTTTTCTTTTTTCCCCCAGCGTTGACAGAAACAAGTATCAGATCCATATTCCTCTGCCTCCTAAGATTGACCCAACTGTCACCATGATGCAGGTATGAATCTGCTCGAGGGTCCTTTTTAGAGAAATCTGTGAAAAGCTTAAGCCATGCATTTATCTATGACTTTTTTATACATAGTCACAATTTATTCTTTAAATAAAGTCCATCTTTACTCAAATAACATGAACAATCGCAATATAGGCTTCTGCAATTTCCAGAAAAAGCTGCAGTAAAAGACGTTTTGTGTTGTAGGTGGAGGAGAAGCCTGATGTGACCTACAGTGATGTTGGTGGGTGTAAGGAGCAGATTGAGAAGCTGAGAGAAGTGGTCGAGACCCCCCTGCTCCACGTGAGTGTTCACAAATGAAAAAAATCCCACAACGGAATCACTGCCAGATCTTTTCCTAGTCACAACAACCACCCAGACTCAAATGAACCGTCCATTCACCAGTTGTGGAGCGATTTTACAAACAGACAGAGCTGCCATCACTGTTCTGTAAACAATCTAGCTAAATTTCCAGGACGGATTAAAACTGCTGTTTGTCTGCAGTCATGTGAAAGGGACTTATCCATCATCCTGTTTGTCCTCTGCCCACCAGCCCGAGAGGTTCGTCAATCTGGGTATCGAGCCACCAAAAGGCGTGCTGCTGTTCGGGCCGCCCGGCACAGGAAAGACTCTGTGCGCCCGCGCGGTGGCCAACCGGACAGACGCCTGCTTCATCAGAGTCATCGGCTCCGAGCTGGTGCAGAAGTACGTGGGAGAGGTGAGTGTGAGGAGAGTCGGGAGAGACGCACCAGGAGGAGAACAGCAGCCGTTAGATCTATGAATCCTGATGGATGTAAACATTCACTTTTGGATTTGTCTTTTTTGTTTGTAGGGAGCCAGGATGGTGCGTGAACTGTTTGAGATGGCCAGGACCAAGAAGGCTTGTCTGATCTTCTTTGATGAAATCGATGCCATTGGAGGTAAGGCTCGCCTCAGTCTGTACTTTTTACAATTGGTTTTTTTTTTTTGTAGTGTACGTTCTCGCTTATATCTGTGGTGATCCTTACAAAATGGCTTAAACCACGGCCACATCAGGGTAACATCAAGGGAGACATCTGTAGAAATTTTAATCTTTAATTGAAGTTGAAAATTCTGTCTTAAAATAACCCATAAAAATGTTTCAAAAATAATTTTAGCCATTTTTGGTGCAACATTTATTCTCTATGTACACTATTTTTTCTTTTTATGAAATACTGAATGTTGTTTTTTATAACCAGTGGTAAAGAAACTAAAACATTCCTACACAACATTTCACCACATTAACACAAACGTATCCTTTTGTTTGAACCTGCCAGGCGCTCGTTTTGATGACGGCGCTGGCGGAGACAACGAGGTCCAGAGGACTATGCTGGAGCTCATCAACCAGCTGGATGGCTTCGACCCCCGAGGCAACATCAAAGTGCTGATGGCCACCAACCGACCGGACACCCTGGACCCGGCCCTGATGAGACCCGGACGTCTGGACAGGAAGATCGAGTTCAGCCTGCCTGACCTGGAGGTGAGTTCAGCGTTCACAAAACACGCAGCTATAGTCTCATAAATCGGCCATAAAAACATGCCGGTGGATTGTGTCTGCTTATCTCTACTTTGTGTAGCTGTTTTTTTTCTGTAATGAACCCCTAGCCTCACACCGGTTTGTGTTGTGTTTCAGGGTCGCACCCACATCTTCAAGATCCACGCCCGCTCTATGAGTGTGGAGAGAGACATTCGCTTTGAGCTGCTGGCTCGCCTCTGTCCCAACAGCACCGGTAAGACAGACACTGCAGAATTCAATCCCTGTTTAGTCTTTTGTTTTTGTATTTAAAGACTCCCATTCCTTCTAGATGTCTCCCGCATCTTCCTGTAGCTCTAGCTTTCCCTCGCTTCCTGTTCTGAAAGCATCATTCCAGGGTCACCGTAACACTGAACTTTGTTCATCATCTCAGTTGTTTGTCGCCCGTTTTGAATTTTGACTCCTAGTTACTCTAGGTCACAAATTTGCCCTAAAATATTTGTCTACTAGTGCAGCACTTGCGCGTGGCCACAAGGGGGCACCAGGACATTTTGTCGCTGTCTAATAAAAACACATGCCTTCAAATTTAGTGATTTTTTTTCTGATAAGCCAAAGGATTACATGTTTCTTTGAATATTCGTTCTTATGCTATTTTTACCATTTCTCTTAAGACATGAAAAGTTGATGTTTTGAAGGTACTGCATGGTTTTCACCACACAATGATGAGGGAGGAGATATGTGAGATACAATCTGTTGGGTGACGTAAGTATGAGATGCCGTCTGTCTAAATGCAGTTGAACCCATTTGGCTGTAATGAAGTCGAGGTCTGAAGACTTTTTTTTTTTTTTTTTAAACTGTACTATATCACAGAATAGAAACATCTCATCCAAAACCTTCAAATCTCACAAACCAGAGGGTGTTTGCTACACAAATGATTGAACATGACATTTGGTGTGTTTCCTGCCAGGTGCCGAGATCCGCAGTGTGTGTACAGAGGCCGGCATGTTCGCCATCAGAGCTCGCAGAAAGATCGCCACAGAGAAAGACTTCCTGGAAGCCGTCAACAAGGTCATCAAGTCCTACGCCAAGTTCAGCGCCACTCCCAGATACATGACATACAACTAAGTGTGTTTGTGTGTGAGGAGTTCCACCGACAAGAGAAGCAGTCGAGTCAAAAAATAGTCCTTTTTGTTGTCATTCTTGTTCACTTAAAAATAAAGTTTATTCCAGATTTGAGTCTCAGTGATTTGCTAAACGTTGTACAATTGTTACTATAACAAACATGACACTGCAAATTCACCGATGACGACGCTTTTGCTGGTTTAAATCCATAATTACAGCTGAAAATATATTCTCATGAATCCATCAAGACACAACTTCTCAGTAACATTTGATATCAGCATTATAAAGAGCTTCAAGTTTCCACCATGAACTGTAAATTGTTCTAACACGTCATTTTGACAACAGCAGCTTATTTATTAAATACACCAACAGAGCAGTGATCATTTAAACACAACTACAAAAAGACAAGAGGAATGTCTGTTGGAAACGCAGTCCTGAATTTCTGATAGGATACAAGCCTCACAAAAGCACCTTGTATTTCAGGTTGTCGGACTCCTCCGTGCTCCATGAGAGGGAACAGCATCCACCTGTGCTACCAATAGGGCTGGGTATATCGACCCAATGAGCCAGTACCAAGTATAGACACTCCTCCAGTCAAACCATCCCTGCATTTAATCCTTTTTAGACACGGAACTAGAAAAAAAACTATTTGTATGGTTTTAAACGCAGTCAAATCGCCGCCAGTGTTCCTCAATTTAATGAAACATGTGATTGGCCCACTAAGCTACAACCCATACAGTCACCCACTGAGCGTGATGTATTTGACCGAGTTGGCAGTTCAGCGTTCCGAAATGCCACCAAAAAGTATAAAATGAAGTACTCTATTGGTGTCGGCGTTACTCTGTACTGGTACTGGCATAATCTTTTAAATGCTACGAACCCTCTATTCAATATGAATGATTGTTCAGGTCATCGCACCTACAGTCCCAGATCTGCTGTCCTCGGTTAGAGGCGTCGCCTGTCAGATTGTTCCATCGGTCGGAGTGGCTGATGGGCGGGGATTTGAGCGCCGACAGCGCAGCACAGCATCGTGGACGGTGGGGAACACCATCGTCGGGGTCACGACCCCGTTGAAAAACTGTAAGGTGTCCAGCTCGGACAGCAGGCTTCCTTGTGGATCAAAGCAGAGATACAGGATCAGTCAGACGCAGCTAGAAAGTGTGTTCTGGTACCTTTGAAGGCTGTAGTAGTGATGTAGACCTATTGCTATATTGGGGGGTGTTACTTAGGATGGGATGGAGAAAATGTTGCCTGACAGTAAATCCTCATTAATCCTTTTTCTTTTGTATTAGTTTTAGCCATGTGTATCTAAAACTTTCTACCGAGTGTGTTTGGACAATATTAGAGATTAAGATACGATGAAAGAATTAGGGATCATGGGAGTTGTTGTCTTTTCGGTCAGCTTCTCCTGAGTAGGATTCCTTTAGTGTTCATCGTTAGGGAGGTTTTTTACCAGGAGCCGAATTCTCCTCCTCTCCAAAACAAACGCATATGGTTGCTCAGCGTGTTTCTCCGATAACCTCAGAGCCAGATGTCCAATGACCTCATCTGGTTAAAATATATGGTTCAAAACGAAAGTGTATCTTAAAAACGTGGCTTAAAACTGGATAAAAAGTAAATTAATGGCAGACAACCACAGCGCATGTGCTAAGGGGATTTGACTTGATTGACAGGCGACCAAATGAAACGCACCTTTACCTTGATTAAAACTACAGATTTCTCTGGATTTGAAAATTGCTCAACAACTCAACAGAATATATGAAACAGGGCTAGTTCTTTTTAGACATGTTAATGTGAAAAAGTTATACATTCTACGTTTAAACAGACAGAGATTACTTACTGCTGCAGCCGGCTATGAACACTTGAACGTCCACAGCTGCGTATTCCTTGATAACCTGCAGAGACAAATACTGACTTACTTCCTGAGGTTGAATCCGTCTGCAACACACATTTTCCTACAAGCAATCCTGAAGTGACGCTGCAGCAGCACAGGAGAGGAACTTCAGAGCATTAACGTCTACACTTTCCTCCCCCTAACTTGTACAAGTCGTCCTGATACCACACTGTTAGAGGCCCTGTTGTTGGAGTGAACCTGGTACTGAAAATACCCTCAACTGGAAAAAATAAAAAAATGGAAGAACCTGTTTGATGGCTTTGGCTCCCACGGAGTCGATGAAGGTGGCAGGCGTCCAGTCCAGGATGATGGAGTGGACGGCAGTCAAAGGAGGTTCAAGGAAGACGGCCTCTTCTGAGTGGGACTCCAACTGGCCGTTCCTCTCCTCGTCCGCCACGACCTCATAGGACAAAACCTCATGGGTCATTTCCTGCTGCTTGTTCTGGAACCAATCAAATACAGTGATTTCACGACAGGAATTCAACAAGCCACATGGTATTTCAGATAGGGATGCACCGATTTATCGGCCTATCCGCAAACAAGATGACATTCACCGATGGTATTATTTGCGGCCGGACTCGAACAATAGCAGCTAGCATAATGCAGCTACTGCAGAAGTCTGGTTGTATGTCTATGAGAAAATGACTCTACTTCTCTCTTGATTTATTACCTCAGTAAACATTGTAAACATGAGTTTATGGTCTCAATCTCTAGTTTCAAGTCTTCTTCAATACAGCACGATGTTCATTTAGTACATTATGGTCCATTTAGAGTCAAACAGACCATAAAGCAGGGAATGCTTTAGGGCGGGGCTACACGGTGATTGACAGGTTGCTACCACGGTGTTGTCCCGTCTGGGAGTTGTTAGTGTTTTGTCTTACAGCTTCAACCCTTTCACAGTGAGTTTTCAGTTCATTCAAGATAATAGTAACATTTTGCTCTCCTGAAAATGTCTTATACAGCGTTCAGATGTATGTAACTCCGCCCTCTCTGTCACTTCTGGTTCTACAAAAAGATTGCGGTGACGACGTTGACTTCTTTTATACACTCTATGCTTTAAAACAGTTATTTCTTTATGATGAAGATTTTTTTTTTTCCTGGCACTAAAGGAGAATAAATAAACAACAACAACATCGTTATCGACCAAACTGTTATTTTAAACATCGGAATCAGCCCACCATCACACGATCGGTGCATCCCTAGTTTCAGGTTGTCATGTGTGTATTTTTCTGATACTACCACTGTGGGGAGCTAAAGTCAAAAATGTCCAAATTCTACACTTTATCTTTAAATTGACTGCTACTACAAGTAAACAATGGTATTCTTGGGTTTGATCAAATCCAATTGACTGTTTCCTAGCGTCTCTTTCCACAATCACAAAGGCCTGACACGAGCTGCTATCACACAGCAGCCTGCGAAACTGGTTTCTCAGATCTCACAAACCACCAACACGACAGACAAACAGATGCAGTATGCATCATGCTGACTCAACAAATCTGACTGTGTACAACAGCAACAAGCAACCAGGGGGTGAAGAAAGGAGGACTCACCCTGCCACACATCTTCAGTGAAGGGGTGGGGGTGCTGTTTGCCTTCTCCATCCGTTTCTTTTGGGTTTTCCGGGCAGCTTGCAAGGCCTCAGGGTCCACACCCGTCTGTAGAGACATCATCAAAAGCAGCAAGCAGTCAGTAAAACTGTTTGACTCTTCAAATAGAGCTGCCAAAAAGTCACATTTCTTCTTGCTTATATGGTTCAAAATGTTAACTCACTCAGGAATATGTATACATTTATGTACCGTTCTGTTTTACGAAGGTGCATTCTGTTAAAAACAATGAGTAAATCCAGAGAACTTTATTTACTCAGCTGAGCACTCGGCACAATGACCGCTGGCCTCCAAGTAAATCTAATAACTCGTACATTTAGGACAACATCCGCCCTAACAGAAAGGGCCTAATGTAATCATGCTTTAATCTAACTCATTCTAATGTCCTCCGTGACAATAAGCTGCTGCTTTTCCTGTCCAGGCCAACAGCTGTTAGACCTCATTGACCTCTTGGAAACCCGTCACCACAGACACTAGATCAAGCTTCTGAGGGCTTTTATTCTCCCAGGCTGCAGAGTCTTTTGGCATTCTATAATACTAAAAGTCATTTTAAATGTACCACTTGAATCACTTTTAGTCTTTAACATTTTTTTTTGATTTTCACAAATAATCTGTGTTGCCATTCACCACTGTACTTTGGTGGTGGGAAACAGCTAGCCTGGCTAAAGGAAACTCTGCAGCTCCAGCTTCATATCTGCCATCCAGACATTTTCTCATCCAAATCCAGCAAGCATACAGATAATAACTACATAGCTATTGACAATCTTCTTGTTGATGGTTTACTCATGTAGGTCATGTAGGGGCATCGGTATCACACTGAGACCGTTTCATGACCAGATGAACGTCCCTCACAGAAACACAGACAGCATGTTTCTGGACCCAAACACATTGCAGTCTGGACTTACTCTCTAACCCTGGGTCCCATTCTTCAGATGTGGCCCTACCTATTGAGGCTAACATGCTGATATCAGCATAAAATAATCCTCTTAGTTTGAATCCTGGTAATTTGGTTCTCTGAAAACAGTTTGAGGAGTGATTTGTTGAACCTGGATGAAGTTATCAGGACTAACTCTTCATTATGAAAATCGAATAGTGATACTTACACAACACGGTTTCTAAATAACCTGCATTTGCTCTCATAATTATATCCACAGTATTTTATAATAAGTCTAAGAGAGCAAGCTATTTGAATATAAAATGAGTAGATGTATGGGTTTCACCCTAAAACGTCTTGGTCTTGATCCAATTAACTGTCAATAAAGTGAACTTTAACGGCTTTGGATTTAGGGGATAGTTTGGATGTTCATAAACGTGGTTGTGTGACATTCTTCTCCATAGTCAGTGTTTTACTACAGTAGATGGAGTTTGGAGAAACAGACAGGAGCAAAGCAATGTACTTCTGTGGGCCTAAACACAATCATTATCAGTAGAAGTGTCTGATATATTTAGAATATGTTCGCTGTCCGACCTTACCGTCTGAAAGCCTTTTCTGTTTGGGAACTCTAGCAACTCCATTGCCAAAAACATTTTGTCATTTTACCGTGCATAACACGGGAGTTGTTGGTCCACCGCTGGCTTGACCGGTTATTTTGTGTTATTATGTGACTTCGGTGAATCCGAACAAACCCTTTAAAACACCAAAGTCTCGCAATAGCACCAACAAACTAACCAATGGAGGCAGCTGTAGATCTGCAGCTCCTGTGTTCTGTCAGGTAAAATGACTGTTTTTGCCAAAGGAGTCTTTTGGCTTAGAAGTGGTGAAAACATTCTAAATATACAGGTGCTGGTCATATAATTAGAATATCAAAAAGTTGATTTATTTCACTAATTCCATTCAAAAAGTGAAACTTGTCTATTATATTCATTCATTACACACA